TTCGATCTGGAGCTTGGCCCCATTTCCCCCGATTTTTTAAATCACACAAAGCATACAGCACCCGGAACGGTAGCACACACCATTAATACCATTGATACTAATCTGATACTGTCATCTTCATTCCTTATGATGTTCCAACTGTGTAATTACATATACACTACCGTTCACTGGACACCCAGAAAACAAGGTAATTGATACAAGTTATTAAAGAAAACAATATCTGTATGAAACATTTATTTTCTTAATTCTTAACAACATACAACTATTTATAAGCATAATTTTGACTCACCAATATGTGTTCCCTTACTTGTAATTACAGCCTGGCAAATAATGGGTAAACGCGCACCTAGTTTCTCTAAAGTGGATGGAGTTATGTTTCGCCATTCTTGAGATGTAGGACAACATTTCCGTACTTGTCTGTCCAGTTCATCCCACATCAACCCTATCGGATTCAAGTCCGGGAATTGGGGAGGCCATTGGTTTATTTTCAAAATATTTTGTTCCTTGCTTCTAAAAATTGTTTAAAGAGCTTGGATGTGTGTTTGTGGTCATTATTATGCTGAAAGACAAAAAGATCAATAAGACGAATCCCAGAAGGCACAATATGATATCCCTCAGAGCGGAACCACCAAAACAACCCCAAATCATTGAAGAGCCTCCACCGTGCTTGACTGAAGCGAGGGTGCATGATTCTAATGCCCTCTGGTTAGACCGATGGCGGACTAATACTCTTGGAACCAAAAACCTCAAATTTCGATTCATCTCTCCAGAGGACTTTCTTCTGTAGTAATTAACAATAGATAAAAGACTTTCAAAGTTATATAACAAATTTAGAAGATGAAACGTAAGTTTATTCAAACAAACTTTGGAAGTTTATAGCAAATAGTATAAATTCAGATGCAACCATCCCCCGTGAAATAACATGCAATAACAAAAGTGCTAATGGGCCAATGGAAATCTGTAATTTGTTTGCCGAGTACTTCAGCAGCGTTTTTTCTACAAATAGTGTTTCTGACAGTCCACTTGACAAAGGCATACCCAAAGGTTTAAAAATAATTCGTCAAAAGTAAGTACTTGAATTCATTGACACTATATATTTCAACAAATCTGCTGGAAATGACAATATACACCTACTACCAGTATTTACCAAAAAATGTAAAATGATGTATACAAAGCTCTTACTTTAATTTACAACACCTATTTAGATGCTTGAGAGAAATCCTCCATTACACCTATTTTCAAAATTGAAGTCATGGCAGACAATTACAGGGCTCGACATATTCTCGAAGATGTGAGAGAGATACTTTTTGATGTAACAAACGTAATTATTCAGCAACAACATGGATTTGTTTCCGAAAAGGTGCCTGGCTGCCAATTTGCTTTGATTCTCTGACTTAGTTTCCGATATTTTGGACAGAAATTTCCAAGTCGATACTATTTATACTGACTGCAGCAAGGCTTTTGATCGAGTTAGTCATAATTTGCAATTGACAAAACTTGCTGATGTTGGTGTTCGTAGCCCTCTTGTAATGGTGGTTTCTTCTTATTGCGAGATGGAGAATTCCTCGTGTGTATAAGCAAGTATGATTTCAAAGCCGTAATTCCATCATCGGGAGTTCCTCAGGGTAGCCACTCAGGTCCATTATTCTTCTTATTCTGTATAAATGATATCGCACAATATTTCAGCCATTGTCAGATTCTTATTTACGCATATCACTTAAAGATGTATCATATAGTTGAAAGCCTTCAAGACTTGCGTCAAAATACAATCTGATTTCGACAAACTTAACGATATATTGTCACAGAAATTACCTGCCACTTAACAATAAAAAATGATTTTCAATCATATTCGCGAATATCCAATACGCGTATCAGGTAGATAATGTCAATATTAATTTTGTGAGCAATATTCGGTACCTGGGGTGTTAGAATTGAGTCTGTCGAACATAAGTTCTTGCGAATTTTGGCTTATAAGGCGAGTATCATTGTCAGTGTTCGCGATTATAGCTCGGTAAAGGAACATTTCAAAACCTCACTTCCGCCCAAGAGAAGGGTATTTATTTTCTGATTCATGTTTTCTTCACAGAATCTTGAGCAGTCAAATTGACTGCTTTTACCTTTCATCAAAAAATCATATAAATGTACCGATAAGAGTGAATCCTAGACACTGTACAAACTTCAATATTCTATTTTGTAGAACTAATATTGCAATTGGCGAAGTATCTTTCGCAGAGATTTTTCAGTTGAGCTAATTTTGCTCGGACTAGCAACCCAGCATAATAATAGCGATTCTATCCAACCAAGATCGCGTTGATTGCCGACAGCACGGCACAGTGGTCTCACCGCAAGCTGAAGGCAGCTGCCAGCAAGGCTGAGCTTGCGGTGTAATGCTTTTAAAGGGATTCCTGAAAAATTAATCTACTGTTCGTTATGAAGCGATGTACCTTCGCTTTGTAGGCTATTCGCCGCCAGGGTAATTACTAACAAGAAAGTTACATATAACTTACATAGCAGTGTCGTAATTATACTTTAGGGTGAGCAACTGGATAATACTCCGGTATAGGCCTGGATGATACGAAAAATGAAAGAGGAGGATATAATCTGTTAAAATTCATAAGTAAGTTGATACACAAGTTAAAAGAGGTAAATTACGCTACAAATATTAAATAGGTCGACAGTTTAATGAAAATAGAATCAAATATATTGATAGATTGTTGACATTGTTAAGAAGGTTTTCCCTAATTCTGCTAAACTAAGGCAGCTCAAAAAATCTCTAGTAGAAAAAATGATAAATGTCATCTGGTATCATGCTATAGCATTTAAATTCACCAATGTTCAACCAATCTGAAAATGGCTTGTACTCATGAAGTCATACAACGGGCAGCGAATTCCGCAACCCCGTGGTCTTCAATATCATGCACAATACTTCGTTAATGTGGTCGCCATAGCAAGACAGACGTTCAGTAGTCGCGATACAAAGGAGATATTCCGAGCATTGCGATCAATGCAGCTAAACAGTTCGCAATACCTGGACGCACCCAAGAACATATTAGGCACACCCTTAGACATGCACATTCACCGAATACTCACATGTAGGAAGCTAAGCTAATAAAATTTAATTGCTAAAAAAAAGTAGACAGGGTAAGGTAGTAAAATTGTCACAACTGGTAGCACTATACGTGTTCTCGTACTAGGATAAAATTATTTTTGTAGGATGTACATTCTTAATAATATCTGAAAACAACCAAGCATCATTCCAGAATGAGTGCAGCCTAATTGCTGGTTTGAGCGACAGACGTGCACGAAATTTTCCACAACTGCTACCGTACCTAGACACAGATTCTCTGATATCCTCAGACTTAATGTTAACACTGCATTTCCTACGCGACGCTGTCTTCAATTCGTAAGCTATTATATTCGGCAAGAGTTAATTCGTTTGAAAAAAAATTGGCAGCAGACATGTGCAAAGAAGGAATTAAATGGATCATTTTAGCCAAACAGGCTCATACAATTACTCCAAACCACTAACCTGACAACATTATAATGTAGCCTACCTCCCTACCGTCAGTACGGATAGACGCATCATCGGTTCGGCAGACAGACTGACCTTAAGTTAATAAAGTTGATTTGCTAAGAGAAGTATACAGGGTGAGCCAGTAAAATGGTTACTACCAGTAGCTCTGTACGTGACTTGACGCTACGATTTTTTTTTTTGTTTTAGGATGGTAGGCGCAGGTAGGCTAGATGTCTAAATAGAAAACCTATCAAATTTGAAAGGATTTAAGCTGGTTCCTGAGTATGAAGCGATTCATCGTTAGTGCTAAATATCGGCCGCGCCTGCCAGATGGATGAGCTCTGAATATGCATCGATGATCTGCCAGAAGAGATTTTCGCCACTTCAAAAATTGGACCAACGTTTTTAAACTGTTTATAACAGTCTCACAGCCGCGGTTTCTAGACTCTTATGAGCTGCGCAATTTGCAGTCCTTGTGAAACCGACCCCTATAAGCATACGTTAAGTCAAAATAACACTGACCGCCTCTAGTTATACACTTTCTGCATCAACTCTCAAACGCCCTATATGATTCGTAAGTGATGTAGGTCTCCAAAACTTCATCTGAGCCTAAATTTTGCTGTTATGAAACTTGAAATCTTTTAAATATCCTGTCGAGAAGCCCCTACGCTCAGTATGCTATTAATTATGTGAGAAACTGACAATTCAGTTAAATAGTCCCCTTTCCTCCCCTGGTGCTGAATGTGGGAATTTACATATTCCAGAGGTAATATCCGGATTACCTGAAAGCTCATCGGATCGCGATTTTGATCCTTTAGGATGAATATTTTATATTGCAACGGATAAGGTACGTTCTGTATTAATGGCTCTTGGTATGTTTGCTAGATGCTGCTTACATCACTGATACGGTCTTTTTGCTGTTACAAACAGGTGTTGAGACCCTTGAAAACCGCATACGTATTGGTCCTATCCTGCTAACCAAATAAAAAGTACCCAACTGAATTGAAAGCAGTATCTGAGACCACCGTCTTTAAGCGCCCGCGTTGCCACCTCTGAAACTGTTGCCGCAAGTCGTGGGAATTTCCTGACTATAAGAAATCTTGAGCATAACCTCATGCGTAATTAAGAGGGAAGTTACGTGATGATAATTTCTTTAGAGGTTGATGCTACGTTTAAGAATTAACAAAGGAGTTTTTAAAACTTCTAAGGGTGATACTCGTCATCATTCCATAATAGATGCAGCCTGATCCCCGATTTGATGGATATACGCGCATGAAATTTTACACAACTGCTAGTGTATCCAGATACAGTTTCTCTGATATCCTTAGGGCCGGTTTTATAATCTCTAGTTGACCGGCGGTTGAATTTGAATCGGCGGTCAAACTGAAATTTCTGTATTATAAACCAGAACCGACGGTTCAACCGCCTGTTCAACGCATCTGCGTTCAACCTTAGGTCGATCTAGCGGTTGAAATGTCAACCGGAGGTTAACATCATATCCTAACCTAAATTTATTGCTTACATTTGTCGTAATAGTGTACTTCGTCTGCTTATATTTTACCAACTTGGATTATTATAAGCATTTTCAACTATCAATAAAACGACGATTTAAAATAAAATGTCGTCTTCTTCATCTTCGAATGAAAATATACACGGCAGATTACTTTGGCAAACTAGCAGTGAGGATTCTTCAGATTCTGAAAATGAGAATCGAGTGAAAAGTCCAAGAGCCCCTCGAAATTTTAGAAGACGAGTAGATCACTTTACACGTTGGAATGACGAAGAATTTCGAGTAAGATTTCGCCTTAGTAAGGAAACAGTAACAATGCTAGAACAGAGATTTCATAATGTTTTAACACCGAAAACTGAAAGGTAAATATATTTAGTAAATCACATTATTTATACAAAAATGAAATTATAAATAAGAAAAATATCTCAATATAATGTTTATCCTAGGAACTATGCAGTAACAGCAATGCAGCAAATTCTGCTTGTGCTTCGCTTTTGTGCTACAGGATGTATGTTGCAAACTGTTGGAGATTTCACTGGAATCCATAAGACTACTGCATGTGGAATTGTAAAACGTGTTATTGGTATATTTGCATCTTTAGCAGCAGAATACATCCATATGCCAAACACACAAGAAGAAATTGATGAAGTAAAAAGAAAATTTTATACTATTGCAAAGTTTCCTCGCGTAATAGGAGCCATCGATTGCACTCATGTGAAAATAATTTCCCCAGGTACTTAATCTTTGACCTTGTTGTTAGTCATTTTGTTAATTTAGGCAAATTGGAAAGACTTAATATTAAAACATGTAATACTAACTTTTAGGTGGAGCTAATGCTGAGTATTTTAGAAATAGAAAAGGATATTTTTCTATAAATGTACAAGTAGTAGCTGATCCAAATTTATTGATAAGAAATATTGTTGCCCGATAGCCTGGTTCAACGCATGATCAAACATTACTGAACAATAGCTCAATAAAGGCACAGTTTGAAAATAATAGATTTGGGAACTCTGTAATGCTGGTAGATTCAGAATTTGCATTAAAAAAATACTTAATAACACCTATTGTTAATCCAACAACTGAAGTGGAACAAGTATTTAATGAATCTCAAATTACGAGTCGAAATCCAGTTGAAAGATTATTTGGTGTTTTAAAAAGAAGATTTCCTGTTCTCTCCCTTGGTATAAGATTAGCTCTGGAGACAGCACAGACTCTTATTGTAGCATGTGCAGTTCTTCATAATATAGCAGTTAATATGAACGAGCCAGAACCTCTCCAAGATGATGATCAGAATAGAGAATGGGAGGAAGAAGAAAATGTGAATGGAAATGATGTTCATAGATTGGAACATAACTTTAGAGAAGAATTTCTTATATACTTTATGAATCTATTAGAAGAAAATCAATAAACTATTTTGTATGATAATTTATTGAAATATATTTATAAATGTATTTGCAACGGTCTAATGATTTCTTCAAAGTTTAGCTTTAGTAGGTACTTCTATCTTTTTCTAATGAAGTTTAGCAAATTCATACAATGAAACATGTCATGGGATTTATATTTTTCATTATAAATTTATTTTCTATCCTACACCAGAAAAACAACTTTCTAAGTTTTATTAATACTTTATTGATTATGCATCAATTTGTTTCTGCAAGAGTAAAATTTCATATTCTAATTTTTTATTTTGGAGCTGCAAGTTTTTAGCTTTCAACTCGTGTAGTTCCTGCTCATTTTTCATTTTTTGTTCATGGTGTTCTTTGTTTCTTGCAGCTTCTTCGTCTAACAACTTCCTTTTTAGAGATGTTAGGCCCTCTTTCGATGACTGTTCTTCACTCCTTTTTCTTTTTCCTTGAAGGACTCGGTGTTTCCTTGATTGTAAGTGTCTTGGTGTGTAATCAGACCAATCTAAAATAAATACATATATACACTACATTGCACTGAGTATATAGTAAGCACCTACCATGTATCACTTTAACTGCCAGAGGGGATTGCTGTGGTACTGGTACAGACGGTGTTTGTAACTCACATGTCTGTTCTAAAGCTTCTGTGTTGCTTTCAGAATCTGAAATTGTGAAAATTGTACAAATGCATTTGTTTTAAATTTTGTCAAAACTATCACCTTCATTTAACACTATAGACATTGATGCAAGATCAACATCCTCTTCATGTACATTTTCTGTATTTTTATTTGACTCGTCCATACAAACTGACTCGTCCATACAAACAGATGCCGCTTCTGAAAAAAATATATAATTAAAGTATTTTTAAGTTTAGACACATAACTGTGGGTGTTCACTGTAATATTACACAATATCCATCATAGTACCTTCTTTATTTTCAAATGAAGCATCATCGCTGTCACCCACAGATGGCTGCAATCCATGCACTGATAAGCCAATAATACTTTTAATTTTCTCGTAAAGCATAATCACGGCTTTCTTCAGATTTCTCTCATCAGCACCATCACCAGTCCTCAACAAATTTTGCCTCCTGTGAGCTTCATACTTGCGTACTTCTTTTTTCAAATTATCAAATTTACACCTGAGTTGATCAGCTGTTCGTGATTCGGTTGTAGCAGAGTTGTATAGCTCAGCAATTTTCTCCCAAGCTGCTGCCTGAGAAATGATACTAACATTGAACTTTTTGTATTCAATGAAAATTAAAAACTTCACCTTTTGTTTCCACGTTACGGCGTCTGTCCTCTTGCACTCAATAATATTTTTGTATCTCAGAACGATATCTACCAAACTGTGGCAATGTGCCTCGGAAAACATCAATCTTTTGGTTGGTTTAGCAGTCATTTTTAGGCAGAGATAAACCCTTCTATTTTTAGGTAATGGTAATATATCACGTAATTATGAGAAAACATGAATCAAATTCAAGCGGATAACCAAATGGAAATGGTATTTACCATTTTGGGTTGGTATTTACCAATCCGTTCAAGCGTTATCAGTTTGGTTATAAGATCCGTGACGTCACGAATCAGCTGTTATATGTCATAGTTATCACCGCAAAATTGTGGTATTTACCCAACTCAAGAGTAGTTTTATATTTCTGGTTATTATTTGAAATATGACAAGTTAGAATTTTGCCGGGTATTGGATATTGTTATTGTACTTCAGCTGCATTTTTGAGAAAAATGATACAGGCTGACTTCAGTTTTACCATAAAGTGGAGCACCTTATTAGTTATACTCATTCCGGTTGTTGAGGACACTTTAAATGTAGTTCCTATGCTTAACAAAGTATCCTGTGTAGCCATATACCACAAGAATATTAAAATATGGCCATATAAACTCACTAGATGATATCCACCTGTATACGGTTTTGCTAATATCTTTTTTCATCATTTCTGCTGAATCAATAAATGTTTTCTTTGACATGCGGAAAAATTTAGAGAATTGAAAGTTATCATAGCTACAAAGCCATGGTTCCATCATTAAAAAAAAAATCTGAAAAAAACAGTTCTCCCATGAATATTATGAAAGGTTTCTTATTTAAACTTTCCATATACAGTTGTAGACGAAAAAGCACCGATTATTAAGTGATAATAAAAATAATCAGAGATTATATACGCGCTTTTCTAAAATAAACAACTTGCAACAAAACCGCGGTTAAAACCAACGCGTTCAAGCGTTTCGTGTAACTGACGTCATCAACCCGTGTGTCATCTTGAACCATATTATAACCGCGGCACATAACACAGAAATTTTGGTTATTCGCTTGGATTTGATTATGGATTTAAACAAAAGCACAGGCGACACAGAGAACTGTCAACACTGACAGTGTTGACAGCTCTTTTGCCGTTCTATGTTTTGTACGCCGTACAACATTTGTCTAGATGTCATTGTCATGTCATCAAATTAAGGTGACAGAACTGCCAACTGAAAAAATTAAAACTGAACCGTCGGTTGACAAACCGCTACCTGAAAGTAGGATCATAAAACACAATTGTCTTCAACCGACAGTTGAATTTCAACCTTCGGTTGGAAAACCGGCGGTTCAGTTTTACTTTTATGCAACCGGCCCTTAGAATGTTCCTGCCTACTACTCGAATCAAAAAAATATCGTAAGGTAGGGTGAGACTGCATGTCGTACGCAACGCTGCCATCAATCCGTAAAAGAGAACAACATCGTTGACGGCCCGTGGGTGCGAATGGGTTGTCTGCCTCAAAAATAAATTTACACCTATACGATTGGTAGATCCACAGCTACCTCCTGAACAAAAAAAGTCCCAATTTTCGTTAAGCCTCGCATTTTCGAAAGCGGTTCAAACGCGAAGTTTATTTGACCATTCCCTTCCTCATACGCATATTAAGCTGGTCCCGCACGTTATTATGGTAGAGAATTTCAAGCGTAATGATGGTCTAAAATTAGCATGACACGTAATGCACGTGCACGTAGCGGTATTTTGCATTACATTAGATGAAAGCAGCACACACATTTTCATTAATTAGATGTCCCTAGTAATTTTCCACACATATAATTCCATTCTGGAGACTCGGGGTTGACCTCAATAGCTGTTGCGTCACCATCAAAGACAACCTAGATTATAAACCCCGAGCATTTTTCCTTGATAGCTAACAAGTGGTTTAAATTTATCATTTAAAGCAATGCTTCAGTGTGAACTCTAAAGCTAGACCACTTGGTGGTCCAGTAGTTTTTCGTGACCGCATACAGGCCAATAGATATCACTAAAGTTAATTAATGTATTTTAGCTAATCTTGATTATTGTTAAGGAAATCTAATGTCATATGATTTTCTTCTTAAATCTCCAGTGGCCGAAAGGCTTTTATACGTATCGTCAAACAAACGTTGTTCTTCAATTATAATGTTTTCCGGCATTTCTTACTTCGTCCTCCATGTCCAATATTCTACTCTCAAGCCTTTAGATGTGCTCGTCCTTTTCGCCGGCACCTTTAACTAATATTTCTATCAGGCTTCCAAAAAATACTAAGTGTTGCTTGTTTTCATTTTTTCATTCTTAGCGTCTTCCATCTACTTCTTTCTTCACATTTATCTGAACAGCATATGGTGTTTTTTTCTATCTCAATATAATCTTTGTTCTTCTCCATGCAGCTCATATGATGAACTGTGAGACAATTAATGCATATTAGAGAAGAAAATTTCATTTTACAGAATTTGTATTAAATCTCCATCATTTTGTTAGACATGTATTCTGATATAATTGTAGTGTGTGGTTGCCTTTACGCTGTGATTTGTTTCGCTGTATGATCTCACAGAACTGCTGAAAGAAATAAAATACGTGAATCTTATGAATGGTTTGCTCCATTCAAATTCAGTTATACCATTGAATTCTCATTGAGACTTCTTTAAGACAGGAAAGATCACGTATTTATTGCAGAAATTCAGAATTTTCAAGCCACACAAAACTAGAAAATACCGAAAGCGCTTAGAATAATGGGCACACACACATCAATGGATTATTTATGGTCTATAATATCACTACCTCATTTATAATGAAATTATATCGTATCGCTATTCGCTGAATCACGATTGCCTCTCATTTATTCCCATGTGTCGTCTCTTTGCGATATGTTTTAGGAGTAATGGAGTATCGAGACGTGTTCTGCATAGTCAAGACTTCGTAGTTCCGTTAAATAGCCCTGCAATTCTTATTTTCGCTGGCGCTCATTATAGCCCGATGGTTTGTACTGCCGCCAACAGATGGCGCAGGCGACACTTTTTATAGTCGCCATCAGACGGCGCTTATGGCGTCATACTTCATTCGGTTATACTTGCGCAATGTGCATAACAAGAAAATCGTTTACTTAGATTCTTTTTTGTTTCTCCGTGCAACTATTCCTACTCGGTCTTATGAAGTAAAATATAAATCATCTAATCACTTGATCGACACTAGCATAACTGCATAATATATATGCGAATGCTTAATAATAGCATGTTCGCACGAAACTCTCGTCTATTACATTATTAAAAAACGCATTAAAATGTTGCTGCTCCATATCTTGATGACGTCATACTCGCGGCTGCATTACTAACAACGAGTGAGAACGTTTTTATCACCCTAAAAACTTTGAAATTACATAACTTCTGAACAGTCTAGAATGAGCCAAGGAAGTTTGTGAAAGATAGCACTGTAAATTGCTCGCGCTGCTTGATTTATTGAGATACAGTGATATAATCTTTCTTCTTCTTCTTCTTCTTCTTTCAGATTCAATTTTCAGAAACTGGATCACGTTTGTCATTAGCAGCGATTTTTGTAACAACTATTGAACAACAATTTTTGTCTCTCTACAGTCCTAGAATACAATATTTTATAATAAAAGCCCCATTAAACCTATAGTTCCAAACCAGTTCCAAGTTGGTCTGGACATTGGTGAAAGATATTATTATATACTGATTAATTTGAAAAGAGTTAAAGTGTTTGGTTCTGGTACTATTTCATCGATAGCACTAGGGTATTCAGTCCCTTTTTGGTACTTTTCATAAAGACCGAAAACAGGGGGGTGAAGTGCTTTTACTCTGTCGCGATACGAAATTTTGTGCTAAATTTAGTACCAAATTTTGTGAGAAAATTTGTTACTGAATTTAGTTTTCAATTTGTTTACAAATTACAATCCTGTCTGACACGTAAAGAAATTTTTGTACCAAATTTCGTACGAAATCATAAACTATAACTGTCAACTTCTTACTGTTATTTATCACGTCAAAGTCATTCTAACCACACTTTGTGGTTGCTACATAAATCCTTTATTTTTAAACGGATAGAAAATTGTAGAAAATGGACCGATCAGTGCATGTGTGTGCTTCATATCCTGAATAAAGAGCTTCTAGTGCAGGATCCAATTCAGCTTATTAGGCTTTCCTGTTTTTACAGGCCTTGCTTTTTACAGCACATAAACAATCATATTTCTCATACTCGTTTAGTAATATGTCACACTGCTCTTTTGATCATGACATCGTTTACGTTTTCAATCTATAAGTAGAATAGCCTACGCAAAACTGATGAACACAACTGATAACATCAACTAATGTAAGTGTTTGAGGTTATTTCAGCCATTGTACTGCTCCAAATCCTACAAAATGTAGCACTAAATTTGTTCATGCAAAATTATGTACTAAATGCTGTCTGAAACTATCCTTAATTTTGTACAAAGTTTAGCACAAAATTTCGTATCGTGACAGACGGCCTTGAGGCAATACACGTTTCCGCAAGCAGCCAATGCTGTCAGCGAGGAAGGCGAATTTTGATCAAAAAATGCTGATTCTCAAAGTTAACCAAAATTTCTGCTTGCAACTTCTCTAAAATGTTAAAACTGAAGCTGTATATGGTCTACGTTCATGACTAGAGCAACAGAGTTGAAGGCGTGAGGAGAGATGCTACAGATCCCAGAACCTGAAATACATTTCTGACGCAATGGCTATAGTAGATAGCCCGTCTTGACACTTTTGACTTCACCTTTACTCCCTACTCCATGAATTTGCCCCCCTGTTTCCATTCTTCATGGCACCTGTTCAATGTCTATTTAATTTGGGTACCTTGAGGTGGAATAATTTAATCAATGCTATGGTAGGTGGAACATTAAGTCTATTAGACAGAAAGGGGGAACCAACCAAGTATCTCGAAAAAAGTATTCAGATATATTGAGTTAAATAAGAAATGCATTTTTAAAAACAAGAAAAATAACTGAAATTCTTAAAATGATTTTTCTGATTGGAAATATTTAAGCGACAATGAAACACTTTGATCTCAAATTTTCAAATAAAAATCTAACACCCTCTTTCCATCATACTATGAAATGGTAACGTGCTTTTATTTCAAAACTTGAGCTTTATGGTAGATCAAATATTTCCAAGCGGAGTAACTGTTTTCAAATGTTTATTTTTTGAACAGCTAAATAAAAGCTTGTTTTCAAGAACGTACTTTTTTGTTTTATTTATTTTTGACTCTTTAGAATTCATGATGATGAGGATTA